AAATCTAGTGTTACCGGGGTGCCTTGAGACCCTGAGCAGGGGTTCTTGCCTTTCACTGACAAGGAATTGAGCAAGAGAGGCAAAATGTCCACACGAACTAAGTTTATTAAAGACACAGGAGAGAGAAAGGGCTCACGAGGGAGACACGGAGAGGGACTTTCACCTATGCTAACCTCCAGTCTCTCCCTGAGCAAAGGGGTTCCTAAGTTTTATAAGAGGTCTTAGGGGGAGAAAGGCATCATCTTTATTCATGACATGGGTGGGGTTCTGAGGTTCAAGTGGCACTTGTGTAATGTCTCTGGACCGGAGCTTGAGCCCCAGTCAGCGATTCCTGTTCTTGCTTGTCTCTGGTGGAAGGTTGCTTCTTCGGTCACATTGACTTTACTGCACATGGTCTGTACCTGGTGGACGCCTAATGACAGACTTGAAAAACGATCTGGTCAACCTTAGGGTCTGTGGTAGTTAAGGTTATGTGTTAACTTGGCCGGGCCTTCTTGTAGTTATTCCCTGTGACGAGACTGGTAATCAACTCCATGGTAGAATCTACTGTGAACACTGAGTAGCTGCCTTAGGGATGTGGTCTCCTTCCTGTATATAAGAAGCAGCTTTGGGAATGGTCTGCAGCTTTTGGCATGCTTGAATCCTGTGTGTAGCTGCATCGTTGTTCAGCAGCCTGTCATGTTGTCTGTTGATCTGGGGACTCTTAATGGCCTTGAATTAATGGCCTGCCATGTGGTTTGGTGATATTGGGACTATGCCTTTTTACTTGTTGACCTTGGGTTTGTCAGCCTCAGCAGCCAGCAGCTGCCTGAGTGAAGAAAAGCCTTTAGCTCCAGTGGGCCGGGAGCAGGAGGCAGAGCTGGAGCCCAAGGCTGAGGGGCTTTCACCCAGTCCCTAGAGCCTGGCACTTTGAACTTGGACTTCTAGCCTCCACAACTGTAAGAGAAGAAAATCCCTGTTTGTTCGAGTCACACATTTGTGGTATTTTCTGTTATGATTAGCATGGAGTAATCAAAACAGGGTCCTTTAATTTGCAGCCTCTTTGTCTTGCCCAAGCACCTAGTTTGCCAACTAATCAGTTTTCTGATGCCAGAATTATGCGGTGGTCTGCACATAGGCTAAAATTTCATGGGTACTGAGTCAGGGGCCTGTTTGACTTGGCTAGCCCGATTTCCTGACTGTCTCACTAGCCCATGGCAAGAATGACACAATCCTTACGTTTAGGGTTCTACCTTATTTGCACAGTCCCATTCCTGCAAGGGTGCACGTCCCTTGTTTACATCATTAGCATGCTATCCAATCCCCTTCACAGCTCACAAGCTCCATCCATTTGCATAGCTCCACCCAGTCATTTGGTGGGAGTTACAGTGACTGGGGAGAAGAGCCATATGGAGTAATTCACTGTACTGCAGTCACTCTGCTATATAAAATACATAAATTATGATAAACACATATCCTAGTAATCTAAAGTGGATATATTTATAGAAAGTGGTCAATCAACAGTGGACTTAAATGATCTAATACTGAGTCATTGACATAAAAGCAAAGAGAAATTGATTATTGGTCATGGCAGGTGCTGAAACCAGAACTTCAGATCAAGAGGGGAAAAGACAGTGAAAGAAGTAGCAAACAGACTGTAAGAGTTTAAAAAGGGAAAAGTCCAGATTTGTCCTTTAGAGTTGACACTTGATATGGAAAAGATGGGACAGGGAAGATAACATGTCCGTTGACCAATCTGTTGTTGAAAACTTCAGAAACAGCTGAATTCAGTCACTAAAAAAAGATCACAGGGCTCAACAGAAAGACTTGTTTTATTTTGCAAGAGAATTAAATACAGAATTAGTATTTATCTTTAAACAAGAAAGTCAGAAGTTCACACCACCAATCTTTGCCAATAAAAACAAAACAAATAAGAAAGGTGGTGCCACCAAGTGAAAGAACAAATCCAGGCTGAGCAGCTGCTGGGTGGACAGTGGGGTTTGTAGAGCTTGGTTGGAATAGGTTAAGTTGGCATGTTGTGATGTTCAGTGTGGGCACCAAGTACTGTAATTGGATACAGAAGTTGAGACCAGGTGGGGATGTCTAGACTGGTATACAGATTTAGGAGTCCATCACTGCAGGTAATGGATTACATCTCAACCTAAAGAAAATGAAAATCCTCACAACTGGACCTATAAGCAGCATCACAATAGATGGAGAAAAGATTGAAGTTGTCAAAGATTTTATATTACTTGTTTCCACAATCAACACCAATGGAAGCAGCAGTCAAGACATCAGATGATGGGTTGTACTGGGCAAATCTGCTGCAAAAGACCTCTTTAAAGTGCCAAAGAGCAAAGATGTCTCTTTGAAGACTAAGGTGCACCTAACCCAAGCCATGTGTTTTCAATCGCCTCATATGCATGTGAGAGCTAGACAATGAAATAAGGAAGAGCGAAAAAGAGTTGATGCTTTTGAGTTGTGGTGCTGGCAAAGAATACGGGAAGTACCATAGACTGCCAAAAGAACTAACAGATCTGTCCTGGAAAAAGTGCAGCTGGAATGCTCCTTGGAAGCAAGAATGGCCAGACTTTGTCTCATCTACTTCAGTCGTGTTGTCAGAAGGGACCACTCCCTTCTGAGAAGGATATCATGCTTGGTAAAGTGGAGGCTCAATGAAAAAGTGGAAGGCCCTCAATGAGATGGACTGACACAGTGGCTGCATTGATGGGCTCGGGTATAGCAAGGATTGTGAGGCTGGCACAGGACCGGGCAGTGTTTCGTTCTGTTGTGAACAGCGTCACTATGAGTTGGAGACGACTCGACGGCACCCAACAACAACAACAACAACATAACACTGCAGGTGACCACCACTCTTCTGTCAGCTGACCGTGTGGTTCGCGTGTTGCTATGGAGGTACGCCAATAACAGAGGGTCACCTATGGTGGACAGTTTTCAACAGTAAGAGCTCCCACGTTAAGACAGACTAGGGAGAAAGGCCTGGTGATTTACTTTTAGAGATCAGCCAATAGAAACCTTATGGATCACAACGGACTATTATCCAACATGGTGCTGGAAGACGAGTCCCACAGGTTGGAAGCTACTCAAAATGCACAGTGGCTTCAGCAGCGGCCCAGAGCATACCAACAACACTGACGTCTCTGCAGGGGCCGGAAACAGCAACGACGAACAATGGTTTCTCAGTCTGGGGGACCAGTATTCTGCTTAATCAATCAGCCTCACAACTCCTCATCCCTGAAGTAAGCATCAGCTCCCAGCCTCACCGTGACCCTATCGATATGCAGATATCCCACTTCAGAGGTCAATAGGCCAGCTCTCTATCTTGTCTGTCATGTTAAATGCAACAAGGAGATAATTGGTGACCTCCCCTCTGTGAAAAACAAAAGGCGGAGTGCACTCAAGCTTCTCTCCACCTCTTCCATTGGGGATTAATTGCATACCATTGGCAGTCCACACTAACTTCGATAATATTTCTCACTCCTATTTCTCTTTTCCTTAAAACATTTTTCACTAATGAGTCCTCTTTCCTTTTTTAAAAATTTTATTGTGGCAAAAAATTTTCACATAAAATGAGCCTTTTTAAACTATTTGAGTGGACAATTCAGTGGCATTATAAAGGTTCCCTATGTTGTGCAACCACTGTTTCCAAAACCTTTTCCCCATCCCCTCAGTACCTGTCAAGCAATACCTGCCCATTCCCTTCCCCCCCACCGCCGGTAACCACTACTCTTACTTTGGTCTCTACACATTTGTGTGTTCTAGCTATGTCATGTTAAGTGGGACCAAGCAGTATCTGTCCTTTTTATGTTTGCCTTTTTCACCCAGCATGTTTTTTCAAGGTTCATTCATGTCAGAGCACGTAGCAGAACCTCATTTCTCTTTAGGCCTGAACACTACTCCATTATATGGCTAAGCTACATGTGTTGATCCATTCATCTGTTGATGGGCACGGGTTATTTCCACCTTTTGGCTCTTGTGAACAGTGCTGCAACGAGCACTCATATTCTCCTTTCCTTTTGAATAAATGCACTTGTAGCCATGAACTGGATTTCATTGATTCTATTCTCCAGCTGGGCTCCTCAGAGATTTTACCCTCCCAATTGTTTTCAAGCACAATTTGCACAGAGAATGCCTTTGTGTGTTCTATTTGAAAGACAAAAGCATGTAAAATATTTTGAATGATTTTCTTGACAAAAAAAATGACTAAGCTTTGATGCTTCAGATGTCTACCTGCCCTGTGGGCACTGGCTCAACTGATCGTTGTTAAATGAATGAAATTGAAAAATGAAAAGTACACTAGAGGAAAGCATTTTATTCCTCAAAGATGAAAAAAAAAAAAAAAGCTTTTAGAGTTCCAGTTAGACCCACTTAACAGGCCAGATCTTTTCATGAAAGGGTACAAGCGCCGTTCTGATTATTTAGCCGTTCTAAATATATTTCTGCCAAATCCTGCTCGGATGATTCAACCTCAGGGTTTACAATCTTATTTTTATAACCCAGAGCCCGCCGTTGTAATGGAAATTATTCCGGTAGCAGGGGCTTTCCCGGCTTCCTCCCTCTCGGACTTGAACGTCTTCTCCTCCAACGCCAGCCCTGCTCTCCTGCTGGATCCCACATTCCAGAGAAGGCTGCGGCCAAAGGAGATGGGAAGAAGACGGAAGCCGGCGCCATGGGAACCGGAGTCCAGGAAGCCCCAGCTCCAGGGCCGCGAAGAGAGGAGCCGCCCCGCCGTGGCGCGCGCCCGATGACGTCACGCCCCGTAGGTGACGTCACGGCCCTGACAGACGG